TCTCTGCCCCTCCCCCACTCATTCTCTCTCTCTCCCTCGCTCTCTCTCTCAAGAATAAACATTTAAAAACAAAAAAACCAAAAAAACATTTCTATAATTATTTTCCCATACTGACAGCAATAAACAGAAACTATATGCTATATATTTTAAAAATTTGGTCGGCAGCATTGTTTCCTTTTCTGTCTGATGAGAACTGCAAAAGGGTTAAAATTTTAAATTCTGCTTAATTTAAGTAAGTTCTAAAAATGCTCTTAAAGAAAGACAAAGGGAGCATGTTCCTATGAAAAGAATCCTGAGACTCTTAGAAGGCCTGGGTATTCATTTTGTTCACACAATATTCCATAAAATATTTTACATCTTTGGATCTATAAAATGAAAATACTATTATCCTCACTGGATCACTATGAAAAGTATATAAGACAGAAAAAAGCAAAGTTGCTAGTATAGTGACAGCTACAGTAGGCCCTCAACCACTATAGCTATTACTTTTTAATGCCACGAATGTAAAGGAGGAAATAAACTTAGTTTATGATGTTACAAGGAATGAGATTAACAGTGTTCTAAGTGCCCTAAGACAGAAACAAAGTTCTTCAAATTCTTCACACTCTCTCTCTTCTTTCCCATTCCTTACCCCTCACAAAACTCCTCCCCCACCAAAGTAAGACTTACCCAAATAAGGAGAAAAATGAAAGATTATTCTCAGGAATTCCTTGCCCTCCTCCTAGCTTCCACATATAAACTTCTGCTTTTTGCAAAGAAAATATTGACAGCTCAGTCTATGTTTAGCTTATAACCTTAACAGAGTCTAGAGTAGTCTATCAGACTAGGTCTCAGGTATACGTGTTTTTGGAGAGTTCACCCTGTCAAGTCATTTGTTAGCCTACTTAGATACATTATAGTAGACCAAACCATATAATATTCCTATAAACTCACCGCAGTCTTTGAATCCAAAGTTATATAAGACCTCAAGGGAAAAGTAAGATCAGAGGAATCTTATGTTCACCAAGATAAAAGAGACAGAACTCTAAAGAGAATATGTTTGCTTACATACAAATTTGTACTAAAATTATTATAGAATTAATTTCTGTTTATCATCTCTAACTCTACAAACTTAAGAATCATCCCTACTCCCTAAACTTTTAAAATGATACCTGTAAATTGGTTTCTTTCTGAAGTGTTCTTCCTCTTGGGCTGATCCACTAATATCAATGTTGTTCTGACTTCATGATTTAGAATTTTTTATTCTTCCTCTGTCCCACTAAGGTTCCACAGTCCTCTGAATAATAGCTAAAATGTATGAAGAACATACTATGTGCCAAGTGTGTTGTACGGTTTCTCACTTAATGTCATAATAACACTATGAGCAAGATGAAAACACTGCCATTTTACAGTTGAGTAAATAGGCTCACAGAGTTGGTGGTACTTGCTCAAAGTCATAAAGCTAGTTAGTGGTAAAATCGATATACTCTGACTCCAGAGCTGATAACATTATGCTAATTCTTTTCTGCTGCCATAGTGAAGACCTGGGAAAACAGTGCTAGGACCCAGGTTTACTTTCTGTCTCCTAAGAAAACACTGAAGAGAAATCTCTATCCCTGTGATGTTTGCCACCTTTTTCTAACTATAACCAAAAGGACTAACTTGGAATACACTGCAATCAAAATATTTATCGCTATCAAAAAGTACATTCAAGGGACGCCTGGGTGGCTCAGTCGGTTATGCCTCCGACTTCAGCTAAGGTCATGATCTCACAGTTTGTGAGTTTCGAGCCCCATGTTGGGCTCTGTGCTGACAGCTCAGAGCCTGTAGCCTGCTTTAGATTCTGTATCTCCTTCTTTCTCTGCCCTTCCCCACTAGTACTCGGTCTCTCCTTTCTCAAAAATAAATAAAAACATTAAAAAAAATTTTTTTAAGTACATTCAATTAAATTGACAAGCAATGTTAGAATTTTGTAAAACAGAAGATTGAACATGTAAATAAAATCAAGTCAACAAATATTTACTGAGAACTACTAGGTTTCAGATGCTTGGGATAAATCAGTGAACAAGGCAAATCAGGAATGCTGCCTTAGTAGAGGTTTCTAACAGGAAAAACAGATAATAAGGAAAATAAAATTAAGTATATTATATGGCATATATTGGAAGTTAAAAGTCTTGTACAAAATTTAAAATATGTATGTTAGCATGGGGGTGGGGGTGACTGGCAGCACCAGTGGAAGAGTGGACAAACTGCAGTGTTAAATGTGGCAGTCATGAATTGTTAAGATGTAAATCTGAGCAAAAACTTAAAGATGAGGACTTGAAGGAGGCGAATAACAGCAAGTGGGAAAAGGGGGAAGACCATTTTAGGCAGAAGAGATAGTTAATAGCAAAGGCCCTAAGCACATGGTTAGAGCCAAGGAAGCAAACAAGACCAGTAAGAGAGAAATTAGTTTATGATCTAAACAGCAGCAGACTGGATAGGGTCTTATAAGAACACTATAAGGATTCTAGTTTTTATAGAGTAAAATAGGTTTAAAGGGTTACAAGCAGAAAAATGACCTGATTTTATCTTAGGCTGCTATGTTGAGAACATATCAAAAGGAGGGAAAACAAAGAAACAGGGAGATGAGTGAAGATGCTACTACAGTAACTCAGGTAAAAGTGATGATTCAGATGTGAGGTTAACATAATCTAAATGGTAAGAAGTAGCCATATTTAGATATGTTTTGAAAGTAAAATAGTAAATAGAATTTCCTGACAGAGTGGATATGGGTATAAAAAATAAAAGTAAGGGGTGCCTGGGTGGCTCAGTCAGTTAAGCACCAGACTTCAGCTCAGGTCATGATCTCGCGGTCTGTGAGTTTGAGCCCCGCGTCAGGCTCTGTGCTGACAGCTCAGAGCCAGGAGCCTGCTCAGGATTCTATGTCTCCCTCTCTCTCTGCCCCTCCCCTGCTTGTGCTCTGTCTCTCTCTCTCTCGCAAAAAATAGATAAACATTAAAAAAATTTTATGAATAAATAATCAAAAGATATTAAAAAAATAAAAATAAAAAAAATAAAAGTAAAATTCTTGGCCTAAGCAATAATTAGGAGAAGATATCCATGAACTGAAATAGTAAAGACAGACAAGTAAAGTATTTTGGGGGTCGGGAGGTGAAATAATGCGATCTTCTTGGACATGGTAAATTGGAGATGTCCTGAAAGTGACAGTGAAAGAGGGATAAGAAGGCAGGAGTGATCACCTGTATCATATTCTGCTGACAGGCCAAGGAAGATGAAAACTCAGACTGATCACAGATTTAGCAATTTAGGTCACTATGAACTTGCTTTTTTTCAATAAGTTTTGATACAAAGGAAAAAGGGAGAAGTAGTGGGGCAACTGAAGTCAAGAGAAGCTAAAAGAAGGAAACAGTTCATCTGCTGCCCACCACAGGAAAAAGAGAATGGAATTTGACTTTGACCAAATTAAATGACAGATTTTTTCTTAAACTAAGAGACCACAACATAACAGACCATAACAATCTATTACTGAAAATGTCTACTACACAATACAAAATTACTAGACAAAGAAAAAGGAAAATGTGACTCACCAGACATTAGAATCAGCAGTTAAGAATTTTTAAAGAATATTATAAACATGCTCAAGGATGTAAGAGAAAATCTGCTTAAAAGAACAAAGAAATCTTATAAGAAAGTATAAAAAAAAGCAAATGGACATATAAGATCTGAAATGTAAAAAAATTCATTGAATGGGCTTAACAGCAAACTGGGGATGATAAAAAAAAGGGGGGGAGGGGCAAACCAACTTTAAGATAGAGCAAAACAGAGTCTCCTATACCTGAAGAAAACAGAAAAAAATAAATAATTTAAAAAAAAACAAAAAACAAAAAACAAAACAGAGATCTGTGGGATAATATCAAAAGGACTAAAATATATGTAACTTGAATCCTATGAGAGAAAAGAGAGATGGGGCCAGATAAAAGGTTGAAAGACCAAATTTCCCTCAAAACTGGTAAAGAAAACAAAACATAAATTTAAAAATTCAAGAAGCTCAGCAAATCCCAAGGAAGATAAGAAAGAATAAAACACCTGACACATCATATTTAAATGTCTGAAAACCAAAGATAAAAAATAATCTTAAAAGCGGCCAGAAAAAAATGACTCATTACATACAGAGGAACAATATAAATGCATTTTGACTTCACATCAAAAACAATGAGAGCCAGAAGATGGTGGGATGACATCTTCACAGTGCTGAAAAAAAAAAAAATGTCAACACAGAATCCTACAGCCAGTGAAAATATCCCACTGGAATGCAAGTGAAATAAAAACATTTTCAGATAAAGAAGTTCTTCTGTGAAATCTTGCCATTTGCAACAATGTGGATGGAACTGGAGAGTATTATGCCAAGCAAAATAAGTCAGAGACAGGTATCACATGATTTCACTCATATGTGGAATGTGAGAAACTTAACAGATGATCATAGGGGAAGGGTAGGAAAAATAAGATAAAAACAGAAAGGGGCAAACCATAAAAGACTCTTAAATACAGAGAACAAACTGAGGATTGATAGGGATGAGGGAAATGGTGATGATGGGAATTAAGCAGCGCACTTGTTGAGGTGAGCACTCTGTTATACGTAAGTGATGAATCACTGGGTTCTACTCTTGAAGCCAAGACTACACTGTATGTTGACTAACTTGAGAATAAGTAAATTTTAAAATAGGAAGTTCCTCTACGAGTTATGCCTTTAGATCAGCACTAGAAGAAATGCTAAAGTAAGGTCTTTGGATTGAAGGCAAGTGAAATCAGACAAATTTGGTTCTTCAGGAAGAAATGAAGAGCAAAAAAAAAATGATAAATAGGTGGGTAAAAATAAAAGGCAATTTCTCCTCTTAGTATGTTTAAAATACATGTGACTGCTTAAAGATCTAAGGGACAGCATAATGATAAATCAGCTTCAAAAACAGTTTCTCCTTTCTTATCTACTCCCCTCCCATAGTTACAAAAAAGAATAGTACCTGTTTTAGTTTCAAAAAGAAATTTTCAGTGGTACTACGTTTGCTGAAGGGCCAGAATAATCTCTCATTAGGTGAGCAAACACGGACTTTTGTCTCTATGAGAAATCGAACAGGCTCCTGTACTTCTGTTATTACCAAATCAACAGCTGTGGTCATAAACAGCACTTTATCTAGAAAGAGAGGGGAAAAGCAAATAAAAAAATGGAAATACATTTGCTCATACAATTATTGTTAAATCACTTTTGTAACAAACTTTCAAGATACCTTAAAGTAATATATCAATTAAATAAAAATCTAAAATAATCACATAAATTACTGTTTTGAAAATTCTTTTTCTGTATTGAGAATTCTTTGCTTGGGTACACTCCTTGGAACTAGTGACAGCATTAGATACTTTAAAGTTTAGGAAACATACTGTCAGATTGTTTTGTAAAAGTGCATATGGCCTATTCATGCCACTCTTACCCATACAGGGGATTCTCAATTTCTAAAATCTTGGTTGATTTATCCATTTACCTATAGTGCTGTGAATAACAAGAAAAAATGAAGGGGAAAATAAATGCTCAATAAGAGGCACTACAAGGTTACATTTTTCAGGACAGAATATTATACAGCCACTAAATGACATTCATGAGGAGGATGAAACACCTTGAGCACAGAGTATCTGAAAATCTACATAAAAAATTGGTCACGGTGGTCCCCTTGGGACGGGGCCCTGAGGACCGTGGTAGACTTCTACTTTTCCTTACATATCCTTTTAATTTTTAACCATATATGCATATATTATTGCTACAAAAATAAATAAAACTTAGAATTTTGTATACAAATACATAAGTAGAAAAAAAGCAGGAAAGGGAAAAATTAAGAGGGGGGGGAAGTAAGTGGGGAAAAATGATACTTTGTTTACAGTTAAATTTCATAACCACCTCAAAGACCTATACAAATTCTTTGGTTTCACTACAATTAAAAAAAACACTGGATATTTGTGAAATAAGTGGACCTAATGTTTGGGTATCTTCTTGGGACTAAAATTTCTGTTCATGGTGTCAGCAATCTGCATCACCTTTAGGAGTTTCTTCATTTACAACTTGAAAAGGCAGAGATTTTGGATTCCAACTCCCAGTGATGACATAGGACTTTCCATCAGAACTTTTGCCCATAGATTCCTGAAGAAAAGAATAAAAACAAACATAAATGCCAAAATAAGTCAACTGCTAACTGCCATTTTGCTGCCTTTAGAAAATAGAGAAATTGCAAAAATATAGTATGAAAAAGGGTCAGATTTTTTTTTTTTTTCAACGTTTATTTATTTTGGGACAGAGAGAGACAGAGCATGAACAGGGGAGGGGCAGAGAGAGAGGGAGACACAGAATCGGAAACAGGCTCCAGGCTCTGAGCCATCAGCCCAGAGCTTGACGCGGGGCTTGAACTCATGGACCGCGAGATCGTGACCTGGCTGAAGTCGGACGCTTAACCGACTGCGCCACCCAGGCGCCCCCAGATATTTTTTAAAAAGGTAGAAATATATGTGAATGACACTCATTACAGTTAAAATTAAAGATGTGCCAATTGTTTATGTAATTGTTCCTGAAAGTTATAAAGTAAATGCTTGTAGATCGTATCAAATTGTACAAACATGAAAGAAACTTAACCACCTAAGTCTATAATGAATTCTGTTGTCAAGTGAATAATTATCACATAAATTTTAGTTTTGAAAATAAAGATTTTCACATAAAAGCAACAATACTAATACCACCTTTTATAAAATTCACAGTAGTTTGTAAACACTTCTCTCATGAATTTTCTGACTCCCACTTCAACCCTAAATTATAAACAAGGATTATTCACTATTATACAGTCAAGAAACCAAGGTTAAGACTAAATGGGTCTAAGACCAGACTAGTAAATAGCAATTCAGAAATAAGGAAATACCCTTATCTTTGTTTACTGCTATTATAGCTCACAAGAACACTTTGATAAACGTGCTTTAACACCAAATTCAGGCTGAGATAAAGTGAAAACATTATCAAGGAAATAGTATATTAACTTAAAAAAAAAAAAAAAGATTGTGGGAGTCACAAGGCAGCAGCCTGTGTAGGGGGTGGGGCTCAAGCCCACTTCGAGGAGCAACAAGCCCATGCGGGCTGGGCGGAGAACGCCACAGCTCAAACTCTGTGACTTGGACAGAGCTCATGGCTTTAGCACTTGTGGGGTGCCTGTTTCTCTGGAAGGCCTCCTCCAGGACAGAAAGACAGGGTACAAAGAGGAAGATGGCGGCGTAGGAGGACGCTGGGCTCACCTCGTCCTGCTGAACACTTAGATTCCACCCACATCTGCCTAAATAACCCAGAAAACTGCCAGAAGACTAGCAGAATGGACTCTCCAGAGCCAAGCATAGGCAAGAGGCCCCCAGAAGAGGGCAGGAAGGGCACAGAGTCAGTGCGCGCTCCATGGACTGGCAGGAGGGAGCCGGGCGGTGGAGGGGCGGCCCACCCGGCAAGGCAGAGCCCCCAATCTGGCTTGCAAAAGCAGAGGGGCTAGATGAAGTGAGTTCTGACATCCAGTGGTACTTAACATCTGGAATGTTATAAGTCAAGAGCTCTGCTCGGAGAGCAGGGTGGGCAAGAGGACACCGGTAGGGAGAGATGTTGAGCCCCGGAAGACAGAGCTCAGCTCAGCGGGGAACAAAGGTGCTAGGAAGCGCCATCTCCCTCGCCATCCCCAGCCAAAATCCCAAAGGGAACCAGTTCCCTTCACGGAACTTGCTTGCACCCACAAACACCCAACGCTGTGCTTCTGTGGATCCATCCCTCCAACGGGTCTGTCCTCCCTCCCGGTGCCACAGGGCACCTCCCGCAGCAGACCACCAAAGACAAAGTGAGCTGAGCCTACCCCTCCCGGCCCTGTGCAACTTGCGGATCCACCCCAGCTGATACGCCAGATCCCACAGAAGCAGCACCACAAGCCTGGCAGTATGCAAGTAGCCCAGATAGGGGCCACACCACTCCACAGTGAGTCCTGCCCCTGGGAGAGGGGAAGATAAGGTACACACCAGTCTGACTGTGGCCCCAGCGGTGGGCTGGGGGCAGACATTGGGTCTGACTGCGGCCCTGCCCACCAACACAAGTTACTCCAGACAGCATAGGGGAAGTGCCCTGCAGTTCCGCGCCACCCCAGAGACTATCCAAAATGACAAAAAGAAGAACTCTCCTCAAAAGAAACTCCAGGAAGTAGCGACAGCTAATGAATTGATCAAAAACAATTTAAGCAATATAACAGAACAAGAATTTAGAATAATAGTCATAAAATTAATCACTGGGCTTGAAAGAAGCATAGAGGACAGCAGAGAATCTATTGCTACAGAGATCAAGGGACTAAGAAATAGTCATGAGGAGCTAAAAAATGCTATAAGTGAGGTGCAAAATAAAATGGAGGCGACCACAGCTTGGAATGAAGAGGCAGAGGAGAGAATAGGTGAATTAGAAGATAAAATTATGGAAAAAGAGGATGCTGAGAAAGAGAT